GGGAAACAGTTTTTAAACATGCAATAACTAAATTATTAGTAAGATTTTTGAGGTATTCATTGAAATAAGTAACAGTCTCGATACTAAGGTAGAGAGCATTTCAACCATCGTTCAAAATCACCATTGCAGAAAGATCCTAAGAACTGCACTGGTTACAGTAAATCATTTTCTCAATCAATTATCTACAACATTGCCAAGTGAGCAAGCCAGTGAACGAAATGCTTTTTCGCAGTGTTAGAGCAGAAAAAAACGCCCATTCTGTGCGTCACACACAACCTGCGTCATGGTAATATATCTCCCACTGCCCGGTCAATAGCAACCGTTATTAAAACGGCAAACAATTAGACACACCGACCACGGGGAAGATATATAATAGGTCACTTTCATGACCGGGTTGCTTGCACACAATCAGGTTACTGCTAATTAGATTCAGCCTTACCTCTCAGGTACTTAAAGGTAACTTTTCAATGTGAGGTTTTTTGTTTTCATAGTTCTTTACGCAGACTTAATGAGAGTAGTTATTTGACCTGAATATTGAATTACTGAATTGAAAAACAAGTTTAATGCAAGGGTAAAATCAGGTGTCATCATGAAAAAGATTGCATTGATGCATGAAAGCAAGGAATTAGTGGCAAAAGGGCATATTATTTGTATGATGAGTCACTGTTAATCCTCTGGTTTATATGAAAGCCTCATGTCTGAGATTAAAATGCATCCTGGTCAGATTGAATGTAACTAAGAACATGTAGTGCTGAAGCCTATTTAAGTACAATGTTGACTGAGGCCTACACTTCACCTTAGTATTGCCCAACTACAATATTAAAGTGCTCTTCGTCATATTTGTCAGCAATAGAAACAGAATAATATTCTATTCTATAATAATATAACACTCTGGAAAAAGCCATTCTGCCATTTAGTACTTTTGTTGTTGACACTGCAAGTAGACCTTCTGCTAATAAGACATTTCAGGACAGTGTCAGGAGTATTTTGAGAGTATGGTTTATACTTTAATTTAAATCATAGTGACTGCTCTGAGCAGGGTGAATGTAACTGGTGTAATGTCAACAGTTGTTCTTTCCCCAAACAGCAGAAGTGGAGGTTTGAAGGTGCAATAAGGAATATCAGGACAATGAGGAAGAAGAAGATAACCACAGTCCTGACATGATGTCAAATTCTTACTTTTGTTATAGAAAGGTTGTATTGAATCAAGTCCAGTAAATGTATTGCCAAATATATACAATACTCATTGAAAAAATCTGAACCGGATTTTATTTAAATGTATTATGTCAACAAATTTCACATAGCTGTAATGGGTTAGTTCAAAGCAATAATATTACGTTTTAATAGGTTGAAGAAAAATGGATCATCTCATGACAACAATCAACTATTATTCATACTTTCTCGAAAGTTCCATTTTGCCTTCTCAGATGCTTTAAGATCGTATAATTAATTCTTCCCTAATACTTTGCCCTGTGCAGTGCAGGATGGGATGTTTGCCATCTCCTGTGGTAATACTTTACTTCCTGTCTTCTGCCTGCCTCAGCATTAAGGAGCAGCAGCTCTGCCAAGATTTAGGCTCGTCACATAGCCTATCAGGCCAGTAAAAAGACCAAATGCACATCCAAATAAAATCATGCAGTAATGCAAAAGCGGTGATAATCATCAAAACAGAGCAGCTCTTTTTCCTTTGCAAGACTAGCATCATATTTTAGCTTTTTTCTGAGGAATAGCTTTTTCATCACCACGTGCAATATGCACAGCACTACTGACATCTTGTGTGCAGTAGCTGGAGCTACAGTCTTCGGTTACTTGTTTCCTCAAGTAGCACCTTGACAACATGCCAACATGTAAATAAAAGACCCCAAAACAATCATTATTAATCTGTCCTCTTCCTCCCTGAGAGAGAGGACAGGACCTCCTGGCCTCTTACCAAAGAGAAGAAAAGAAAAGCCCCATCTCCTGTAAACTACTGGTCTTGCTCTATTTGTGGCTTTTTCACATCCTTTCCCAACTGGCAGCAGTTAACGGTGGGGTAGGTAAGTTTGAGAAACCGGCTCGAGATACGCTTTTTGTTATATTCCATGGAATGCTCTTAACATCCCGATGAGCAGATGCAATAGCCTTGGCAGTCTCAGTGACAAAAAATCCTTTAAAACATGTCATCTGTGGAAAGCCGTAGTTCTGTAAAAAGCACGACCAATCATTTTAGCCGGCCCGGCTAAAATAACTGGATGGCCTACCTGCCTGTCAGCCTTCCATCTGTGCACAAACTTATCTCGTGCCCTCATTGGTCATGTGCGCGTTCGTGTGTGTTGGAGGAGGGGCTCTGTAAGGAAGTGGCAGATTTTTTCCGGCTGTGTATTTTCAAATTCTAGCGCACTTGAGCTGGTTTCTCCAAAATGACCTACCCCACCTTTAACTGTTTTTTTTTATAAACAAGACTGTTCTAAACTGTAAGATAACCTCTGCCCCTGCATAATTATTTACAGATGGTTTATTCCAAAACTACTTCAAAAAAAGTCATAAAATAAAACAGACATTTGATGTTAAGATTTTTAAGGTAAATTAAAGTATTTTGATTATATCTTCCCATTTGTTGATCTTACTGAAGTGTATTTCAGTTAATTCTGCGTAAAAGTGAGATTATCTCAAATAAACATTTTTCATGCTCATTATTTAAAATCTTAATTTTATTCTTAATGATTTTGGTGAATATATTAAGGCACAAAGGCAGCTAATCAACCCAAAATTATGTCTGTATAGGCTGTATAATATTATTCCCAGATCAAGTCTGTGTTATATGTACGTTTATAGTGAATATACTGCCATCATGTGTCCACTTAATATACCACAGTATGCTAAAATTAGGCTTTTGGTTGCATATACTGTACATGTCATCAAGGGGTAAGAGTACTAAAATAGTGTCCTCTTGTAAAGTTACATAACTGTATATACATTTTACTCAAGTAATGCCATTATAAAATGTTTTTGATAAAATTAGTTAGTTATGGTTCGCTCTGTGTAAACTGCAGTACATTTATCAAAGAGAAAAAAAGTGAAGCATTGTCGTTAAACAAAAATTGTAAAATAATTGTAAAAAATAAATGGAATGGAATGTGACCTTGCAGTCAATTTACAACATGTCGCCAGAGCTAAGCTGTCTAACGACTAATGTACAACTTTTATCATGAAGCAACTGCTACTCTTAAGGATTTTTTGACAAAAATGTAAGGAGGAGTAGGTCCTTAAAGTAAACAACCTGTAACTTCCAGCTGGAGGTCGATCTTGACTTTTGTACTACTAGTAAATAATGGCATAGATGTCTTCAAAACTTCCAGTTTCAAGGGGAAATCTACTAATAAATAAGAATTCCTTTAATTTCAGCCGGGTCCTTCAGATGTTGTCGTGCTCTGAGCCTAAACAAAAGAGAATCATCGTGACTGGTTGTGTGTGTACATTGATCTTGATCTGTTGACTTGGTATTTATTTGTCTGTTTCTGATGTTTTGGGAAGGTCTAAACAGTAAACAAGCTGTCTCGGGACAGATATGGAAGTACATGAAATCCCTTTTTATATCAGACCCAAGGGCAAACTGTTTGTATGACTTCAAAGACTGCAGCGGTGACTTTGTGGAGCAGGGAAGCTTTGATATGTCATCTATTTACCGTCTTTTTCAAACACTATGCAGAGGACTTTATTAGTTCAGTGATTTCCAAGACGTCCTGCGGTTATCTGGACAAACAATCCTTTGTATGGATACACCACTACATTTAAAAAAACAAAACTCAGATTGCTATCTGTTGTCATCAGGTCTGTGTACATCGGTCTTATCTGTAAAATATGTTCTTTGTTGCATTTGAACAGCGGTTCAGAGAAAACAGCATTTTAAAAAATAAATAATTGCACCTCTGTTCCTTTTCAAAAGGGCACACGTCTCACAGCGGGTATCAAACATGTGACCTGCCAGCAGTGTTATCAACACTGAGGCCTCTCTTTCACCAGCTGACAGATGAGGCTGCGGCCCCTTCCTCTGATCCTTTGGGGGGCAGCATTGGGAGATCATTGAGTCACAGGCTGTTTTCAGGCTGTGTGGTCTATGGTCTGGCCTGCAAGTCTGAGAACCAGTTTGACTTGACAGGAACATAAATTATCTGTTAAAGGTCCCATGTCATGCTTTTCCGGTTATTACCAATCCCCTTGTGTGTTTTGAAGGTTTTTATGCATGTAAACGGCTTGCAAAGTCACAATCCCTCAAAGTACACCCTGTAGCGAGTAAAACTCTAACACAGAAAAGACCTGTCTATGCTGCCCCAGAATGCCTCGTTGGACATTTCTCTTTTTCCATCGTTTACGTCTTGGGTATAGTGACGTATTTGGGTATAGTGACGTAACGTTAAGTCCGGAGCCGTTACGTTTGGACCAATCCGCGGACTTCCTCACACGCACTCGGTGGGACGTTGCGAGGCTCACTGCTGCGAGGAGCGGGACACTGAGCTGGCTCACTGGTGTGGGGTCGGCGAGACAGCGAGACACCGCGGAACTCAGCCTGAGCACACACACAAACTCCCAGCCAGGCTGCGGGTGTGTGTGTGTTCGGGCTGGGTTTCGTTGTCTCGCAGACGGCCACTGGGCTCACAGGGAGGGGGGGGGGCAGGAGCTCCAACAAGCCGTTTAAGACAGAGAGTGAATACACATACTATACAGAGATGCTGGATGAGAAACCAATGTGAGTTTGGAAAATTGCACAATATAAATCTATTCTAGTAGACCTCAACAATGGAATTATGATCAGTAGAAATGGCCATGACATGGTACCTTTAACTTTGATTATGTTTCTTACATTAGTACAGGACCCATTTGTGAAGATTTGTCGTATACAATTATTTAGCCTAAACATCTTTATGAAGGATTCCAAATAAGGAACGATAGTCAAATCTAAATCCCAAAGGCATGTCTCAATGCCAGTGAAAGTCCGATGTGAAGCTGGTGCAGTTTGACTCACATTGTAAGCATCAATAATGAGTTTGATCACGTTGCTGGAGTTGGAGGACAGCGTGCCGACAGCGGATTTAGGAATGAGATTCTTCAGCTCCTGATTGAGACACAAGGTAAGAACAGAATTACAAACATGTTCAAAGGAAGAGGCTAGCTTCACCTGTTTGCACTGAGAACAACGTTTACCTTGTAGACGGGCTGGAACTCCTCAGTGACGGCGAAGATGGTCTGGATGTTGTGATCGCTCAGCTTCTGGACCAAATGGGCGATGGAGGGGTAGTCCTGTCAAAGATAAACACACACACATTAATTAAAGCAGAATTCAGCACCATGGAGAAGCAGCGTTCAGTTATTATGTTCCATAAATCTACTACTACTTAATTAAATAACCTTTCTTATATTAAACTACAATGTAACTTGTATTCTTGTATTGCATACCCGTCTTATTCTATTTTAGCCGGTCTAATTTGTGTTATCTTGGCATTTTTAATCTATTCAAAATGCACCTGGACATGTTGTTCCTTTTGCACTTTGTCTTAATGCTTTTTAATGTTTTTTGTAATTGCATGTTGTTGAAATGTGCTACATAAATAAACTTGCCTTGCGTTGCGTTAATATTATACTGCGTGGACAAGTATGTGTCATGTGAGAAACAACTTTTAAAATCAAGAAGAGTCAATCAGTGAAATCTAAAAACTGCACACATGCTCAGTTGTGTCTCCCTGGATACATTCTGCATATTAAATAAATCACGTACATAGTAGTGGCTCATGGTGTACATGTTGTTCTCCAGGTGACACTTCCCGTCGTTGGGCAGGACGATGCCGCCCAGTTTTCCGTCTCCAGCGAAGTGGAACCCAGCGTCGGTGGAGAACACCAGCAGGCGGGTCACGTTCCTCCAGCCAATCTGATTCTGAGAAGACAAACACAGAGAGATTTCGTATTAATATTTTAAAATTAAACCTATTATAGTGTTCTTCATCAATATATTATAGGTCTCAGATATATGAAGAACATATCTCTGAAGTGTTTGGCTCCAAACACCAAATAGATCATTGCAGGATTACCCATAATCCCCTCTGTTTCAGCCTTGTTTCCAAAGTGCTGATTCTCTGTCTCAGGAAGGACAGATGGGTTCTGTACCGAGCGGCAGCGGTGATGCCGGTGCCGGCCGCGGGG